GATTTATTTTCCACTGCACTCATTTGCTTTTGGTCCTTTATTTTCTTTTTCTAATCGCATGTCATTATGCATCTACATAAGCTGAAAAAATCGATACTTGATTACCATTAAAGGTAACGGATGCTGGGACAGCCTTGGTAGTAGGTCTGATTGTAATGGAGAAGAAAGAAATAGTGCAAAACAGAACAGAACACTCTGCCTGACAGAGCCACAGCTCTTCCCTCTGGCAGCCCAAGTTTGCTGCCTTCAAATGATACTGGAAAGCTCAGGTGTTTCCAGTATGAATCACAAGACAATCTCAAGTAAACAGCAGCAGCCACCAACAATTAATGTCACACTTCTGTCTCAGTGCACAAACAAAAACAAACTGCAAGGCAAACCCAGCTTTTCCTCAGCATTATAGGATTTCCCCAAACAGCAAGGTATAGTGTTTCAGCCTAGCTCTAAATTTCCCTATTCATTAAGATTTTGGTTTTACAATTTTCATGTTTTATCAAGGGGAAGTAATAGGGAAAGATTAATATAAACTTTGATGAACATCATAATCACTTCACAAACCAGAAAGTTAAGAGAATGTAGTATGGTCAACAACAGCAAATAAGAAATTTGGAAAACACATTACCAGTCTAAGGATTTTTTAATGGGTATATATTCACATTGATGATTATTCACGCAATTACAGAATATGACATTCAGCTCTCAGGTTTCCTTAACTAAAATATATTCCAATTGTTTGCTTTTATCAGCAAAAGTAAATTTCAGGGGATTGTTTCAAGACTTCGAGATAATTAAAGCAGTCTTGCTCTTTTTGCAACTACAAACATCACCTTTCAGAAATATAATTTATGCTGAATCTTGAAAGTTGAGATCACTTGAAAAACAACTCACATTTTGATATAATGACACCACAATTAAAAGACTTTCTGATGTAAGACTAAATTGTTCTCTGGATTAAATTTACTAAGCAGCAGTTTCTAAAGATGTTGTATTTAGTTGCAAGTACACTGAAATGAACACCTCATCCAGGACCAGTCTTGCGAGTAGTCCCTCCGGACTACTGTATTAGTCCCTAAAGACTACAGACTAGGGCACTAGTCACTAGTCTCTACAGTCTATGTAGAAGTTCTACAGAGTCAACTTCTCAATTAATTAGCACATCTTTATTTCACAGGAATCACAGGAATCACAGGATAGTAGGGGTTGGAAGGGCCCTCTGTGGGTCATCTAGCCCACCCCCCCTGCCAAAGCAGGGTCACCCAGAGCAGGCTGCACAGGACCTTGTCCAGGTGGGTCTTGAATATCTCCAGAGAAGGAGACTCCACAACCTCCCTGGGCAGCCTGTTCCAGGGCTCCGTCACCCTCAGAGGGAAGAAGTTC